CTCACGCTGCACAAACGCAGACGCTCGCACAACTGAGCTCACCACGTGCCAGGGCCTCGCGAAGGAGAGTTCGTAACTCTTCCTCTCTTTGTCCCTGCACTTGCCAAGCTTCTCAAGCATGCACGAGTCGTAGGAGCCACTGCAAGCTATCTCCAGAGGACTTTGAATCATACTGCGCGCACTTGGAACAAGCAGCAAGGGTATGTCTGGATAAAAGGATTTGCCTAGGATCCTAGGTCCACATCCAAAGCATGCTTGGCAACACGCCAAACACGGTGGAGCTTTCGACATGACCCTCAAGCTGAACTAGAGCTCTGCCTTGGAAGCTCCAGCGTGGGTATGCTGGTGAGTCTGGTCATTCGCATCAGCCTCGTAGCTGGTGCCTGCAAGGACTGCACTGTCCCCGATCCCCTTCGACTTACCAAATTTGAACGCCTCGCAGAACCTGTTGCAGTCGACCCTCAGCCAGGGAACCTTGAACTGACGTGAGCTGGAGGCGCGAATGATCGTTCTGCAGCTTCACACGATGATGTTGTGCAGCCTGAAGCAATGTGGGGCGCGGGCACCCAAGAAGCTGCAGCAGCTGAAGCCGCAGGTTCTCGAAGTCCTGGGGGCTTCAAGCCGACAGTGCCTACAGCATAGCTTTCGGTTGTGCTCGAGTGGAGCCTCCACACCCGCGGCCTCATGCAGCCAGCACCTCGATGGGAACTGTGTGCCATCCTGTTTTCTTGGCATCCGTGGCCCCGGCAGGTGGGTATCCGAATCGGCCTCCAAGGCCTGCAAAATAGTAAGCTCAGGAAAAGAGCAAGGAGATTGCATTTTCGCAACGGCCAAATGCTTTGGACACCTTGTGCTGAGGACAAGCTATGGCCATGGTGCCCATAAGTTTGTGTCTTCAGCGCGTTCTTCTGCCTCCTTTGTGTAAAACACATCTTCTCCGCTTCCCAAAATCCTACCCCCAACCTGAAATTTCTTCATGCGATGCTTCCTGAGCTGCTATTTTTTTGGAGTCGCCTCGAGACTCCATGGCATATTAAGGCGCTCAGCACGGTACGCACGCGGTCTGCCACGCCTGCTGGATTTCAGTCTTAAGCCCCTCCGGCAAAGTGCCATCCCCCACAGCTGTCTGGGAAATGTGGAGCTCGTCCTCACAGGGCTCGAGGCCGTACATGCCCAACACTTGCATGCACTGCCATGAAGATTGTCTCACAAAAGCTCATCAAGAGCATCAGGAATGAAGCGGCTCTTTTCAGGCTTGCGGTGTGAGGGTTACAGTGGCGCAAAACCACAAAGGTCCTCCGCAGACCTCGGCATCGGAGTGGCCGCCCTGCTCGCCGTAGCGCTTCCTGCTTCTTTAAGTTCTGCTTGCTTTTGAGCACATCTTTTTTCTTGCACGTTGCAGCCTTCGAAGTCCACGGGGCTGGGAGTGCACCGTGTGGACAGCTCAGGGCTGCCCCCTCTCTCAGGCGCCTACAAAAAAAGAGAGCTACAAGTTCAAAGATCTTCCAATTCGCATCCGGCCTCATCCTGTGCGCAAAGCTGACTGAGCTGGCGCAGCCTCAATGTCTGTGGCAGAGGTAGGTGGTTGTTTTGTCTTTGGCTCGCTAGGCCCGAGGCAGGAAGCGGTACGGGTCAGCGGGCTTCTCCTACAGATCGCGCCACATGTGTTCTGACATGCTCTGATCCCTTCATTCGTCTGTCCCTGTCCTGTACCACAGCCTCAAGCAGACCTTGCAAGTAGGGCAAAAGATCGTGTTTCTCCAGGTACCTGGCAAAGCGAGAAGTATAATGCAAACAGGTCGAATGCAAATTTGCCTTTCCAATCAGGCTCTTGTGATCTCTCGCTCTTGGCGCACTCTTTGGCACAGCTGGCAGCATCTTGCCTCCTGCCAAAAGCACACGCATATGAATATGAGCATCTGGCAAAATAAGAACCGGATAAGGTGCGTGGCATCAAGAAAGCCCGTCCTAGCGAGGCCTTCGGAGACCTTCCCAAGCTCCCAATCACCCAGATCCTCGCCTCAGAACGTAGTGGCGGCTTGCCAAGCACGCAAAAGACGCATCTTCGAGCCATCCGGCCTCCTGCATCCTTTTCATGATCTCCGCTGTCAGGGCCCACAGTCAGCAAGAGCTGCCCTGGCATCAACTTTGTGTCACAACGACGCATTGAAGCTATCAGCCTCATGTTTGCCAGAAGTGCTAGGTGAAAATACCCTCTGGACAGTTGATCATGTCTGCTTTGGTTGTCATGCAGGGCTGTCACGGAATGGACTATCCAAAACCTTCACTGAGCCACTGAGCCAGCTACCTCCTGCCAAGTTCACTCGGTGCGACTCCTCGATGGCTTGTGCACACAGCACAACAACTTGGGGCACATCATGGCGCATCAGCAAATCATCATCCATCCTCGCTGGAGCAAACCACGACTTCGCTTCCAACCTTACCGAGCAGGAAAGCTGACGAGCGAAAAACTCAATTCGTTTCTGCTAGGACGTCGCCTGCTGCAGCAGCTCCAGCTTCAAGGTTGTCCCTGCACTCGGCTCGGTGGGGAACCTGCTTGGCGTGACCATCCATTGGCTCTGGCCCTCAACCTCTGGGCCTCAGTGGACGGCGCTGCAGCGCAGCCAGCGTCGCCTAGCCCGCTGCACGGCAGCGCTGCAGGTCACAGTTGGGAAGACCCTGCCTGTCGCCGGAGTCCTCCTGCACGCACGGAGAGCAGCAGCTCGGGCGGCAGCGAACGACCATCCACGTTACACACGTGCACCTGCATCAGCAAAACCCAGGAACCATTTCAAGCAGGGCCGTGACGAAAAGCCGCCTGCATGACAGCCTCTTGCGTGAGCGCATCAGCTACTTAGCTGCGCGGCGGCAAGTTGATTGGGTTGAAGTGCTGGGCTACATTGCTGCCACGAATAATGCTAGCTGCCTAACTTGACTAGACATGCTTGTACTTTCATGCTTCATGCTATTTTTACTCGGGATGTAGACAAACACTTGCTGCAATTTGGGCGTTTCAGCCAAACCTTGGAACAGTGCCCTCTGCCATCTGAACAAGCATGGAACCCGAGCTGCTTGAGCTTGCAGCGGGCCTCAGCATGTCAGTAAGCTCACTGAGCTGCAAAGATCGGCTCTAAGACTGGGGAGCTGTATTTGCTGTGCTGACGCAAGCACGTTTTCTTTCAACTCAGACTATGTCATTATGTGGGCTTTTGTAGGCCTGCCCTTTAGGCAGGTCAAGGCCGGACTTGTGGGCCTGCGCTGCCCGGTGCCTTCGCAAACACTGCGGCTGCTTAGCTTCTGTTTCCGTGAAAATGCATTGAAGTCCCTCAGTTCAGTTCCTGTCACGAAGGGCTCCCAGAGTCCCTTACCTCTGGTGGGCAGATAATTGGAGCCGACCTTGCTCCGGAGGATGGAAACCATCCTCCCCTTGGGCAGGACACATCTCATAGCGCATTGAGCGCAACTTCTTTCGAGGCTCTTTCGAAATGCCGCTGGAGTATGAAGATTCGGTGCTTCCGTGTCCGCTGGCCCTTGCACTGCTTCGTGCTCCCAGAAGAGGAAATGCAAATCCCTCTCCTGGGAATCATCCTGAAAACAGAAACACTATTGCCTGACAGATTGCATGCTAGGCCCTTCGGGTGCATGTTGTATCCGTCAGAAGATAGAAGGCAGCAGCGACTGAGTACCGAGACATTCGCAATCTTGATATAACCCTGCGAATTTCATTTCCTAGAACTCGACCCCTTAAACCCCTAATTAGACCCCTCATCCTGGGCTTCTCATCCTCAGCTGCTGCACTGCCTTTTCGTCTACTTGGCTACCTTCGGCTTTGCTTTCAGCGCCGACCTCAAAAAAAGATGAAGGAAGTGCATGCTCCTTGCCGATGCCTCTGAGGCCCCGGCCGATGTAGCCGGGGGCTACTGCAGGGCCTTGGGAAATCGAACTCGTGCACACCGTTCGCTTCCCACCACCTGCCTTGTCCAACTGACTTTGAGTGAGTCTAATGATCGCCAAGTGGCCCCGGCCACTGCAGCCATAGCGGAAGCTCTCGCGCATTGCCCTGGCGACGAGCTCTTTCAATTCAGCTTCGAGGAGCACAGCAGAATGGAAAGGACAGCAAGTGCCTGATCTGCCCCGGTAGCCGGTCAGACAGGAAGGCCAGAATCTGGACACATGTGCTTCAGCTCACGCATAAGGGTTTCGGACATGTGTTTTACGGCTTCACCATGGCTTCTTCTTCTTCTGGCGGCTTTCATGGCTTGTCCCTCTCTCTCTTTCTTGAGGCCTTCTCGTGAGGCTCGGGATACTCATCGCAATACGGTTCCTGCCAGCAGCTTGCAAAACAGAAAACACCGTCGCTTGATTCCGCGGGTCCTCTGTGTATGCCTGAATCGCAATCCGTCCCATGGCATCCACAAAAGCCTGCAAGTGAAAGCCGGGCGTAGACGAGGATCCCTGCCCTTACGTTCTCCAAGGTCCAGTGTTCGGCCATAAAACCCACTTTTTCTACGCGAAAGGGCCTTCGGCCCTGGCATCTTCGCCTTTACTGGGAGCATTTCATCCTCCACCAATGCCACCAGGCAGTCCGAGCACTGAATATCTTCGGCGGCCTGGGTGAGACGCTTAAATAAGCCTGGAAGGTTCTGTCATTACAGAACCAATGTGGCAATCCTTGCAAGCTGTGCAGTTCCTGGAGTCATCCCTTCCTGTTTAACTAACGAGAAATCATGTCATCCTGGATGGCTCCCTGGGTACAGAATTTGGCGTTGCATGGAAAAGCTCGAGTCCTGCGTCGGATAGGCTCATAAACTCATTTCAAAGATATGGCCCCCCAACGCAGCATCCTGCTTAGACCACCCTGACAGGAAATCATAGGTTGCAAGCTTAATCTTGAGTAGCCTCCATTTCACTGAGTGCACAGGATGCTTTTGCTGCGAGTGCAGTTCTGAAACTGTTCGAAGAGGCAATTTGTAAGCAGCAATGTAGAAAAATCGCCTGCCTGCCTGGTGTGACAAGGATGCCTCGATGAACACAAGCTGGGAATCTGCTACTGCAAAATGCCATTTCATCGTAGTCCTGGAGATCCCCTATTGCGATCTCAATCATAGCATAGGATCTCGACCGTAAAGCCAGCCGGTGAAGTCTCCATCATCTTGAGCAGCTCGGCACCAGAGCCTTTCTTGCCATCCACTGTCCTAAGTCTTTTGCAAACTCTTCTAAAGCCATTTGGGTCCTCACCCAGTTCAGACCAGGCACACAATCCTGCTGGGCACCTTAATCACCTGGTCTGAAGTGGCGGCCAGATTGTGGTCGTTGATGGCACCCTCTGCGATTCGAGTTACCTTAGAACTGAGGGCTTTTTGAAAAAGCATAGGGAGATACAACCTGAAACTTGAAACCATACTCTGATCCAAGAAGCAAGGAGAAAGCTCTGGCCATCAATCACGCCAAGCCCCAAGTCTTTTCCACTCTTGGAGACTGTCACCTTGGACCGGGTATGATTAACGTCTCAAAGGCAAAATGAGACTGATGAACGCGCGCCTGCTGCACCACGGGGCGCTGCACTGTAATCGTTACTGGACCTCTGGAACTCTCGATCTATTTCACAGTAATCACAAAAAGGTGCACGGCGCCTGAAGCATCTCGCAGCTTCTCCAGCATCTCCTTACCTTCGCGATAAAGCAGCTCGGTCTCTTTCAGGGTGACCCCAAGACAAAGCAGGTCCGTCCCCTGCCTTTGGACGGCCGATCGTCATTGAAGGCCATCAAGCGGTCGTACTGTCGGATCCGATGCTCCTTTTCACGGCGCGACCCCTTTTGCAACAGCAATAACCCCTGCCAGGATGGCGCCATTTCTTCTGTCGTAATCACACCGACTTTCAACTTGCATGCCATGGCTCAGGCGCGCATTGGTTATTCCAGTCTCCAACGAGGCTGCCTGCCTGCACCGCGTTGACCATACAAACCTGGCACTATGCTTCGGCAATATGATACCTAACGGACCTAGCGTTGCGCTGCAGAACATGCAAGCCCAACCTTTCCAGCTGCAGATATGTCAACGCCTTCGACATGCCAGCAAGGGGACGGGCAGCGCTTGTCAATGAGACAAGAGGGATCACTGAAGTGTAAGCATGACTGTTGCATTGCCCTGCTACTGGTTCTCTAAGCCCGTGACCAAAGCTTGTGCCCGGTGAACGCACCACGTCTACGCTGAAAGTGAAGCATTCCTCCTGAGTAATTTTATTATAGTGCATGGCTACATAGCCCCGCTTATCTAGCGTGGGGTGGTGTGCTGGAACCTTCACCTAATTCAAGATATCAAGCAGTGAACGTTCCAAATGTCATCCCCAGCCTACGCCTTTTTGCGCTTGAACCCGTTCCACTTAGGTGCTGAAACCTATGCCTTCGGACCCTGAACCTCTCTCTATACCTGGTGGCGCTTCAATCCTCTGTCCTTTCCAACGCCCTTCAGGGCTGGAACGGCTGTCTGCGCCTTCCACTGCTTTTAACCCTCATTCTATGCAAAAAACGCTAAAGTCCCATCCAGCGCCTTTGTGAGAACAGAACTGATCTCCCGATAACACCCCCCGCCAAGTGGCCCCCATCCCCAAAAAACCATCTATCATAGAGAAGGCTGGAGGGAGACCACAAGTCCTTCGGCGGACGAGCTCCGACTGTGAGCTCATGCGCCACAGAGGATGAGCTGGCAGGGAGTACCTGTTCGATGGTTTCGATGGTTGCCGCCCCGAAATGCATGGACATTCAAAAGATGTGGGCCTCATCTGATGTAACCAGTTTGGTTGGAGGGATCTCCTTGTCATCCTCAGGAGGCAGCGCCGCACTCCCTCCCAAACTCAAAACAGGATGTGCTCAACGCCATGTCCAAGGTTCTGCTGACGAATCCACACAGCAGATGAACATCCTCCTCACAGAGCACCTCAGGTAGATCTTGATTTCTGGTGGCAAACACACCGTTCAGAGATCTTGGAGGAGGGCCGTGTGCACACAAAAAGCTAAAGCTGCTAAAGCTGCACAAGCCAAGGCTTGAGACTGATAGCTGCAGGCAGTGTCCATCAGCAAATGACAAGCAGGCACGACAAGCAGGCACATGCAGCAACGCAGGATCACAGCATGTGAAATCCCTGCATTCAGAGCAACTCACTCAGGGCACCTCCTGCGACAGGTAACCAAAGTTGCTGCCGCCATGCGCGCTGGCAGAGCCTGCGCACCTGTCACAAAGGCGCAGCGGGAGCTTTCCCATCATCGCCAGGAGGCATACCAAGAAGTTGCAGCATCTGGAGAAGGACGAGGGGTGGGACTCAAAGTATACGTCTTGCCAGCCGAGGCGCTGCGCTCTTTTGAAGATCCGTACCAGAGCTTGTCTGCTCATCAAGTCCGGCATGATCTGAAACAGAACGAACAAGGATACAAGAATAGCTGTTCAGGTTGGAACTGCTAGCTGCTAGCACGCATCCGTGACAGATACATTAGGCTAGAACGTTAGACTCAGGTGACGGGCGCAGTCCTTGAGCTCCTTGCAGAGCGCGAAGAGCTGCCTCACTACTTACTGCATCATGTTCGAGAGTGCGCGCAGTTGCACCATGTTGCACCGTTGGTCTGGTCTGCTTTTCCCTGACAAAAAATCCCATGCCAGGCAGCTCCAAAGACATGAAGCTCCGTCGATTCCTCACAGCTTTGTGTAGCTCCACTCTAAGATGTCCCCTTGGTCCCCTCCTTATGGTTGGGCTTCCGCAGGCATAGGTGTAGGGGTCCTGAGTAACATACAATGCAGAACGACGCAGGACGGCCATGCATCCTCCGATCCCCAGCCTGGACAGGGCTCCATTTCCCAGCACGGCTGCTCATGGTTGACCTACGGCTGTCCTGGCACCAAGGCTTCAGTACAGCACGCTCTTCCCCGGCAAAACCCGCCAGCAGCGCAGGGCTGACCGGGCTGCAAAGGCCCTTATGCTCAGCCCAAGCCTGCCACGTGCACACTGCGTGACTCAACATCAAGTATGCCTCACGACTCCTCACATACATCATGACAGGGAGGGCAATCAGACAGCTGTGGACAGCGATGCCATTGATACAGACCCTTCTTCCAAGGAAGACTCACCCGGGACTGAATTGGTCAGACTAGTGCAGGGAACCGGGAACCTAAGCCATCCAATGAATCTGCGCTGTTTACCAAACTCCGCAGGCAGACCCCACATCTCAGGCCACAGTGTGTGTAGAGTCGGCAAAACATACTAGTGCGTCGCCATAGATCACGAAGAGCGAAATCTCTCGCTACATTCGCTTCGTCAGACATCCATAGAATTATCCCAAACCGGATCCCGGCCAGCAGGGATTGTCCGGAGGCCGAGCCCATGGACTTGCCTGGCAAGTAGCGGAGGCAGAGGCAGAGGCAGAGGCTGAAGCAAAGCAATGCGAAGCAAAGCAATGAGGTTCGGGCTGAGAAAGCCGCTTCCCTGTCCTGAGCACTCACTGACTTCTCCGGATTTTTTCTCCAAAAGTTCCTGGCCTTGAAGCGCACCGCTGGGCAGCTGTGGCCGCCTCCGCCGCTCGGGCGAATTTCCGGAGGGCGAGGCGACTGAGGCGACCTGGTGAGGCAGCGAGGCCTGCAGCAGGATTCAGGATAGCAGGCTTGCCGCAGGATGTGCACTCTTTTGACCTCTCTGTCGGCAATTTGCCATTGGGCCATTGGGCCATTGGCATTTCAGTGCTTCTTCCGAAACCAGGATGCAAAACAGAACTTTCAGACCCAAGCAAGAAAGTCAGGGGAGTGCGAGAGGGGAGCGTCGAAGCTTCGATTTGGATTCATCCTCTCGCAGCTGGACCTGAATTGAGCAGAGTTGCTCTGCAGGTGTCCTTTGTCCGGTCTGGCATACCCTCGTTAACACTTCCTTTTCTGCACTCTCTCCATTGCTCTTCTGCTGTCAGCTCACTGAGATACATGCTATCTTCTCTCACAGCTGTCGTGCCCCTGAAAAGCTTTCTAACGATTTGTACTTTGTTTGGTCTTTTGTTTGAGCCCAGCGCAGTGCTCCGTGTTTCAGCTTGTTCTGGCCAGCCCTTGTTGTTGTTTTCAATGGAAGGCTAGTCTTTCTGTCTCGTCCTCTTAGCAGCCAGGTTCAGCAGCCCTTCCAGGCCCTCTCGTTTTTGAACGCTTCTCTGGCCTCCGGATTGGGATCCAGGCCATCCTGAAATTAGGGAAGCAACAACTGCAGTCGGAGAAAAGGGTTGTGCAGGGTGCCTGCAGGACGACGGACCGGCTTGCATCGGCTGGTTCCGGAGCCACCTCGCGGCGTTCTGTGGTAGCAGCTAAGTCGCGCCGCTGCTTACCAGCCAGCTTGCTATTGCACCTCAGTGGCTGCTTCATTGGCCTCCCCCTCCACCTCCTGCAAGATTGCCGCGTCCATTGTAAGGCTGCCGGTCGTGCAATATTGGGGAAAGATAACTGTGGCAACCGCCTTGACAGCAGGGAGCCCAGGGCTCATAGATTCATCCTCGCAGCTGCTGTCAGATACAATTTTCAATCGCAAATGATCACATGCTAACGCCGCCTGGTTTTCGAGAGGATCCTGAGAAGCCGCTCCCGACATGCTACACGCATTGGGTGAGGCATGTATGATAACAACGCTGGTCTTAAGGTCACGGCAACATCATCCCTGATGGTACCTGCCACCAGCGAGCAAATGCTTGTTGCGGACATTCCGGCCTTGGGGCAGCCTCCTAACATCATTGAGGAAGCCCTGGAAGCAAAAATCGTGTCCTTCCAGCAAAGCTGATGTGCAAATACGCATGCCCAGCAATCCAGAGTCCCATCCTGTGTGTGCTTCCAGATTGACCGTTCTTTCAGGCGTGTTGTGCCCGTTCCAGTCCTGTGAGCGCCAAGGCCTAGGAAGCATAAACTGCAACGCTGGAGCAGGTCGCCCGGCCTTGCATCCATCGGATTTTGGAGCTGGCGCCGAGCAAAGGAACTGAAGAGGTCGTGCCTCAGGTAGGCGCATGCGTAGGCGGTAGGCGGATCGTAAAATGAGATGCCTTTTTCGCCTCTTTGCCCTCTCTTCTCTGGGCCTTGACCTTGGCCCTGGCAGGCTCTGGTGGGCTGCGGCTTCTAGGCTTGCAAGGGCTTTCAGGCTCAGAGTCGACGGTGCAGCTCTCCGATGAGTCCTCAAAGCAGCTGCTTCAAAGCGGTATTTCTTCGATGCTCTTCGGGCTCCTCCCCATCATCCGCGTCCTCCATGTCAGCAATCGTATCCGGCCTTAACTACTGCAGCGCACCTTACCTTATAGCACCCGCTTCCCTTCAAGAAAACAAAGGCTAACGAAGAAAAGCGTCAAGGACGACTCCTGCAGCACCGCCCGGACCTCAAAGCTGTTCTTCAGAGTCTCCTAGGCGACGTTTCGAAACAGCGCAGAGCTAAAAGTACAAGAGCACTTGAGCAGACCGATGGTCCTCCAGTGGTGAGAGCCAGTCCGAATGCTTGCTGGGCAAGGCCACTAGGTCTCGACGATGCAGCGACGAAATCTCCGGCGGCACCTCGCAAGGAAGTACGAAAGTACGGTGCCTGCATTCGATGCCGCCGCAGCACCTGCCTCGGCGGACTGCGGGAAGGCCACGAGGAACGTTTCTCTGCCATCTCCCAGAGCTTCCAAACAGAGCCCGGGGCGGCCCATCAGCCGGGGAGCTCCCAAGACCAAGGCCCAATCCCCTACGTTCACAGGCTCCGTGGGTAGCGGCAGCAGCTCAGACAAGCGGCACTGCACGCGCTCCCCATTCAGTAGCCGCAGCCACGCACGAGGCTCTCCCGTACCTCCCGGCTCCTCTCCCAGGTATGCCGCAAGCCGGGCAGAGCCATGAAGAAGGCAGGGCATGCCAGGCGTCAAGGCTCCAGCCGCCTCGCGCCAGCTGTCATCAAAGAGCTCTGTGTCCTCTTGGTAACCGCAGCTCTGCCCACAGAGGCGGCCATGCCTTGCCAAGAGCACGGCTTGCACCTCCGCAGCGACCATCACTCTCTCATAGCTGCGTGAAACAGGAGCCCAGTTCAGCAATTCGCTCTTCGCATCGTTTGCCTGTGACTGCGGCACAAGTGTCCAGTCCTGTGACAGGAAGCTCTTTCCTGCTTCCGCCACATGGTGGCAATCGGACATCCGAGTCACGAACTACAGCAACTTCCAGAAGTCGGAATGCTAGGACTGCTGTAGATGAAACACAAAACAGAAGATTCAAGTGCCTTGTATCTGTTTGCTTGCAGTCCACTGAACCATGGAACTAGCACCTCTAGCCATCTTGTGTTGTCATGCATCTGGCTGCTTGCACAACCTTGCGTTCACCTATGAGCGGAGCTGGTTTTGGAGGTGTATACAGCTATGCATGCTCACTTGAAATGGAGATGCTGGCAAAATGAGTTCAGGGCAGCTTGGGCTTGAAGTGATCCAGGACGAGCAACACCTTGGAGAAACAGCTAATGAAGTGTCTCGGCAATCAAATCTAAAGACACTGTAAACTTAAGAGGCTCAGCAGTGCCAGCAAGCCTCTGCCTCATTGTTCAAAACTCGTGAAGGATGAGTTAGGGACGTTTGGGTCCAGTGAGAAGTCGGCTGGCTCGTTCGAGCCCGACTGCTCCTGAAACTCCTGCGAATCAACCAGATCGCCAAAAAAACGATCAGCGAGCTCCGACTTCCCGTAAAGCAGCTGACAGCGGAGTTGCATTTTGCAGACATCTTGGCAGCCATGCTATATGGCACTGGGTTGAAGCAAGGCGTCTATGATTTTGCACTCACACCACCACGCGGCCAAGACTCAAGAAGAATTCCCAAACCCTCGACATCCTCGCACACCTCCCTCTACTCCACTGATTGCGGGGTCATCTTCCTCCGCCGCCGCAGCCATGCGCTGCAGCAACTCTCCCATGGCGGCCTCCGCCAGCGAAGATAGCAATCCATCAGCTGAGCTGCTTGATTCGACCACCAGATACAAAACGGCCCAAGCAACACCAACCCACAAGTTTTCACTCACAAGTGCCTCCCAGTCCAGGTTTGGGTACATGTTCACGGCGACCAGGCAAAGGGCCTCCAGCAAAGCACAATCAAGGTCCACTTATGAAAAAAAGACATGCTCCGCCTTGCAGAAGAAGTCATAGGTCAGTCGCTTGCCGCCATAGTCTGTGTCGTGCAGCACCTCACATCATTTCCCCACAGAATGCCAGATGGAAAGATGGAACAACGGCATATGAAGCAGAAGGGTTTCTGAGACATTTGGCTCTCTGGAAGATGATATCAGCATCCGCCAGCGACGACAAACAGGGTCCTGTTTTGGACAAACTGCGCAACCAACCGATGCCGATGTGCCAATGTTCACGCAGCGGACAGCGGTCCTTTGGCCTTTCCTTGTCCCGGCACGAAACCGAGCTCCTTGAGCATCTTGACCTCCATAGTCTGGTGCTGTCAGCTATCAGCTTCGCAGCGCTCGCAGCGCTTTGCACATCTTCGGTGATCTCAGAATCGTGCCCACTTCCCCGAATGCATCAGCTCCGTGTTGAGCCGTTCCTGCAGTCCCAAAACGGCAAGAAGGGCACAGCCAATATGTAACCTACCGAGAATCCAGCGCCAAAGCTGCAGTGCCGCGCAAACTCTCCGCGGAGAACTTCGTCGTACCTCAAAAAGCCGTGAGGGATCGGGAAAAGTTGGGAAAAGGGTGGAGGAAAAAGTGAGAAGAAGCGCACTCCTCGGGCACCAAGACATCCGGCGGCGAGGCCAGCACCTGAATTAAGGCGTTCCATGATGAATTCGCTTCCTGTGTTCTTCTCTTGCCTGCTTCTCGAAGTCTTGCTTGTCCGTATTCCGCTTCAGATGCCTCCCGAGCAGAACCGCCGATTTTTGTCAAACTGCCGGGGGCAACAGACCTCATCAGACCGTCGAAGCGCTTGATCACAGAGGGCTCCAGGACCTCCAACGTCATCGATGCCCCTTTTTGATGCAAAGACGCAAATACAAGTTGATGCAAGAACAAGTAGAACACGATGAGAACATGAATCTCTGCGGGCATGAATATAAAACCATACGAAAGCAGACAACCCCGTTCCACCTGGCTATGCTGTGCCAGCTCCTCGGCAGCAGTTGGGACGTGCCGCCTGAGATGCTCAAGCTGCTTACTGCTGTGCCACGCTCCGGTTCTCAGGTTCCCTGCGAAGCAAAACGCCTTGGTGAGTAGCACCTCCCGTGTCCTGGTGGCAAAGGGGAACTGCCGAGTGCCTGCTCGTGCCTTCCTTGTCCCTCTGCCTCGGGACTGGGGTGTAGGCGACAGCGAGGCGCTTCGGCAACTGCGCCGGGACCTGGACGCTTTAAGGCTTGACGCTTCTAGGTGTGAACCGTCTGAAGTCTAAGCTTCCAACATCAACGTCTCAGTGAAGAGCCCGCTTGAGGCGAGGGACCTGCAAAACTGATGAGAAGTTCTGACATTTCCATCAAGGGCTAAATTCACGAAGCGGCCCTTGCAGCCCTTGCATCAACAGCTTTTCACATTTCCTGTAGAAGACCTGCGCTTGAGGCCGCTGCGCACAGGAGAGTGTTGCGCGCAATGCGGTGGACCCGCCATGCCTGACATCAATCGCATGCCATCGCAGCTTCAAGTTCTCTCTTTTTACGCAGAGATAAGCAGAGCAAGCAGCCAACTGAGGTAACTGAGCAGTTGGCCGGCCCACCGCTCGCTCAGAGGAGGCACGGATCATCCTCTCCAAACGAATGCAGTTCTCGCTTTGCATCGTGTGCGGATCTCAAAGGCCCTCCTCAAAGCCTCAAAGCAGCGCCGCGACAGCCATCAGCACCGTCAGCACCTTGGCTGACTAATTCTAAGCAGCTTCTCCCGCATGCGGCCTTTTGAGGGCAGGGCGCCCCTTCAAGGAGAGAGGATACAGCACGGGATACAGCAAGGTTGGAGCCAAGACGGCCAACATGTCACAAGTGCAAAAGTGTCTGAGGCTCTGCAACAAAAGGCATAGTTCGTTGCACAGCTTGGCAGGGAGATGAGCGCCACATTTGGCATCCTTGACAGAAGTCGGGCTGCGGCTTCGCGCTCATTGCTGCACCTAGCCGTGAGTTTGAGCCATCGAGGAGTCTGCTTAATTTGCATCGCTCAGAGTTATTTCTCACAAAGCTGCACAGACGGGGCTCTATCCCAAGTAATTTCAGCTGACTGCGGCTTACCCCTGCTTTCCTCGCCTCGCCAGCTTGGCTGGGTTGAGATGTGCCCTCTGCATCCTCTCCCGTCTCGTGCGCATCCTCTGGCCGGGACAGCTTACTTCGCGAGGCGTTCGCTTCGCGGCTTGCAACGCAACTCGGCAAAAACTGTCGCAATCGGAGCACCTTCCCATGAAGAAAAGGGTCCACAGCAGCAGAGGCGGAGGCAAAGCCTTCCAGCGCAAACAGGAACTTTGAAGGCTGATATTCTGAGGATGTTTGCCTGCCTCGGCGCAGCCTCCAGCCCACAGAGACCAGTTGTACCTGGCAACGGACTGCAGGCATTAGCTGAATGTAGATGTCCCTGTTCTGACCGTGAGCATGAAGGCGACTCCAAGCCAGCACCTGAAGAGACAGCATCAAGTGAATCAAGTGCCGTGCCCAGTGCCCAGGACTCCCCGCAGCGGCCGCATCTCAACAGTTGCAACAGCTAAGATCCTGACGAAAGGAGCGAGGAGCGCACTTTGTCCCGGGCAATGCCCAATATGTACCTGCCCAGAAGGCGAAGGCCGGCCACGGGCACGCCCGACTCACTGGGTCTCCGGCGGGAGAAGCAGCATTAACGCCACAGCCATGATGGCTGCTAACCTGTAGGCCAGTCTTGCTGCTTTTTAGATTTCAATTTCAAAAGCCCGACACGAGCCAACATGTGGCGCAGTAGGCATACAGGACAATCTAACCAAATAACCAGGTGAGGTGTGATCACTGGCTCAGCGTGGGATTTTGGGTTTGGGCATTGAACTTGAAGTTTCGGGAGCACCCACCAGAGCCCTCAACACCCCCTTCAAGATACGGATTCTCTTGCTGAGTTTGGGGGTGTCCGCTGATCATGAGTTCTTGCCGGCAAGCTGAAGGCTATGAAGTCTGATTTTTTCCCCGGCAAGGGGGTCATACGGTCCAGGGCTGCCCTGAAATCCTGCCGTTGCAGGGATGATGCCTGCCCCTTGCCAGGAAGCACTGCAACAGCAATCCGAATTCAAATGCCCACATACATGCACATAAATATATATATATATGTACATATATATAAGCACACAAGCCAGAGGGCACCATGACTCACCTGATCTTGTGTGTGTGTGTCAGACACACAATTGACTGGCTGTTTTTTTCTTGGCCTGAGATGCTATGTATGTAGGTGTATATATATATATGTACATATATATTTTGTGAAGCTGGAGAAACGACATGCAAAGCCCCGAAAGAATGCAGCTGCGCAAGAGGAGCAGTCAACAGTCTTCTGCTCAGGGGTGGGCTGCGCCGAGCAGACACCATGCTCCTCGCCCTCCTGGGAAGAACGAGGTGCATGCAGGCGGCTTACTGCTCACAAGAGCCGGCCTCTTTGTTCCACCACGGCGTCATCTGCATTGTCTCACCATCAAGGATGGCCTGGACCTGTGCGTGGGGCAAAGCCCTGCTTCTGTCGTGCGGCATTCTTCCAGTTTCGATGCCCAGCCTGGAATGCAGACAGGAAGCGCTCAAAGGCTGGCACCTATGCGATGGCTCCAATTACACTGTGACTTGCACGAAAGTTAAGCCAAAGAAAGAAAGCCTGCTGACGAAGGAAGTCAATTCCAAAGGCGAGCAGGAAGCCGACCACCAGCGGACGCCGAGACCTGCCAGAAAGTCGCAACAGTTTGTCTGCACCTGGGTCGGGGCCTCAGGGGCCCATGCTCGAATCCAGTGATGCCGCTGCGGAACAGCAATGCTCCAAGCACGGGCGCCGCCTACAAAGCACTGTGCAGCGCAGGCTGAATCTCAGTCCAAATCCACCCAAATCCATTCTGCAACCGAGTAGGATTCACCTCGAAAATGCAGAGCATTGCTCCAAGCCGACGAGACAGCGAGTACCTCTGCTCGAGGCCAAGCTGCTTGCAGCATACTGCAGCTGCACTCATGGGGCACCCCTCGATTTCGAGGGCCCGCTCATACCAGCTCCAGGTATCAAACTGCTGGTACCTCGCAGCGGTTTTTGGCTTACCCCTGTAGAATGTCTCACGTGCTGGCAAACATTACAGGGACAGCAAATGGAGATGAGCAGGCATGAGAGTGCATGACAGGACGGGGTCGGAAAGGGCTTTGATTGGGCCTTGTACAGCAATGCCAAAGAATGGGAGGACAGCGATCTGTTCACTTGCTTCCACAATTTCTGCAGAAACTGCAACTGAGCATGTGGAGAGACAGACAGCCCAAAATTTCCAAGTCGGCAATTCAGAACTCCCACTGGGCTACTTTCAGGATCGCAACATGCTTCGGGAACCTCGTGCAAACATCGATGCATCGCCCTGAGCTGGTGGTATTGAACCTGGGCGTAAGGTGGAAGTGCAACAGAGCAGCGTCAATTGGCTTCCTGCTTAAACGCTGAGATCGGTGCTTGCGATACTGGGTCTTGAGCTTGTGGCGTGGAAGCCTTTCCCTGAAAAGCATAAACACTTGAAAAAGAAATGACCAATGGCCTGGACCCCAAAGGTGCCTCCGCAAACAGCGAACCCGGCAGCGCCGTGGCCACAAATCCTTGAATGGCGGAACACTTTCACTGAATTCGACTTGAAGACCCAAAACTCAAGACTGCGGCCATAGCTGCAAGCTGCAGTGCCTAAGCCAAGATGCAAGAGTACTTCAGGACTTTCTTGCAGTCCAATAAAAGCTGTGCTGAAAAGCTAGAGGCGACCTGACGGCCACACATACTCTGCCAGGGAGCGTAGAGGCGACGGTTGTCCATGGACCAAAGCTCCTCACCCTGCAGCCGGAGTCGCAGCAGCACAAGTTGTCATGAAAAATGTTATGCGTGCAAGAAGGTCATCTCACACTTTTTGCACGCGGCGTGCACTAAAGACCCAGAAAGGTACGTTACTGGGCCCCCATTTTTGCGCAGGTAGGACTTTTAAATTGCAATGCGCCCACATCCCGCACGCTTGAGCCAAAATGGACCCACAGTTCGAGAAATCTGCATGAAGGACATTTTTGCTTGGTTATTCGGAGCTACCCAGAAGCTCTTTATGCTGGTCTGCGAGCTACAAACAACAGCCTGCGGTGCGCTTGGAACACACAAACCTAGCCTTTTGCAGGCAATGGATTGGTGCGAATGGTGGAATGAGATCAAGGACCTCACCTGAGAGCAGAATGAAAGGCATTGGATGCGGCAGATAAACTTGGCTGGGAGTTGGGAACCGGGCCATCCGAGCTGGGGACTGCCCGGATTTTGGGAAGCACGTTAACGATTGGCCCGCGACTCAGGCATACTCAGGCGTTGAACTGAACTGCCAGAGTAAAAGACTCTGCTACCTGCTACCGCCTGAGACGCAGGCCGATAGAAGAAAGGGTGGATTTTGTCCTCGAATAGCTCTGACTGTCTGGGCTGACGCTAAAACTTCTGGACTGCGGAGCGCCTGCGTGAAGCGGATGTTGAGCGGGCAGGCCAAAATCTCCTTGACGCGGCTAAGGATGTCAAGTCTGAGGCGTATGCAACGAGGTGACAAAGTTGCTGCTCTCCTCCCACTCCTCAGCGCCTCCTGGATATCCAGAGCCAGGGCCGTTCTGGATTCCTGGCACCGCAAGCGTCGCGAAAGAGCTCGAGATCCATGCATCCTGGGCACCTGTGCCTTCATCGCTGTTACCCTCTGCTTCGCCCTGACATGCACGATGCCTAAACCTGAAGCTTCGTCTCAGCCTCACAGTGCGCCTCGTCGCTCTCGTCATCTGGCAGAAATACGCAGAAACGGCCAAAAATGAGAACGGACGCCTGGCCTGGCTCTTCCACTGTTGTCACTGCACCAGTCTTGGTGTCGCTCTGGCGGGGCTCGCCGCTGAGCGCCTGAATCAGAAAAGGTTTTTCTGGAGATGCTGGCAGATTGCGGCCCTAGCCTCGCGGCGCCGAAGCATCAGAGAGCCAGAGCAAACATGATGTGGGCTACTGGACTATCCAGGTTGGGATCTGGGCTGATTGCTTCTCCATGCAAGATATGTCAGCATCACCTTGAAGCATCTGATAAGCTGAGAGCTTATTTAAGAAGTGAGACAGCTTCCTAATGCCTCTGGCTTTACATGACTCCCCGGTCAGCACTCGCGTTATCTGCTTTACGTGCACCAAGGTCGAGGGCCAAGTTCAGTTAGCTGACAACTCTGAGAAGCTTCGCGGCAACACACAAGCCAATGATGCGAAGCTTCAAGTTTAACCCTGACTCACAAATTTTCTGACAGCTCCTTGCAGCTTTCAAGGGTTGGCATGCTGAAGTCCACTCCGCTACTTCCACGAGACCACAAACAGGAGCAGCGCAGGAGCGGGTATCGCGATGCCCCGGCAACCGCACTTCAACGGAATTCGCCGACATGTGGAAAGGACTGAGGACCCCTAGAGTCCTCAGCGACTCGAGTTGAAAAGAGAGGAAGCGTTCAAAGTTCGAAGCATTGAAGCATCACAAAGTGGCTTCAGACAGGGAGTCTCGCGAGCTCAGCTCTGCAAGCGAAAGGAGAAAGGCGAATCATGGGGCTAAGCAATTAGGAAGGATCATGTCAGGAAATCACACGGAAGGGCAGGACTCCCCCCCATGAGCAGGAGCCTCTACCACAATCCGTCAACAAAAACCAAGATCTCTGATCATCCAGAGCTTGGAGAAAGGAAAGTGCAGAAGTGTTGAAATCACACCAGCCAGGTCACAACTACGTAAGGCCGGGATATAAAGCAATGGCATTAGGGACCCGGATACAAAGTCTGCAGCGCTCTCTTTGAGGATGACAGCAGGTCTTGTTCCTGGTCCGAGCTAGACATGCCTACCCTACATCTCCACGATCCTCCGCAGGATCACGTCCTTGTTGCAAGATATGTCGCAGGTCGCAGTCTGGTTCTCAGCTTCAGCTTCGCAGTCCTTGTTCAACAGGTCCGGATCCTCATGGACCTGCTTCAGGAAATCGTTCAGCCTCGTATGGCCCATCGCGCTGGTCAGGAAAGAGCTCAATAAATATCAACGATTCTTATTCTGAAGCTTCGCAGCTACAGCACGATGGGACGGCAAAAACGCGTATGAGAGGGAGAGATTTCGGCGCACCGCTCAACTTGATTCCTGCACCACATTCTCGACCGAGCAGTAATTGCAAGCAGAGCGTGTTTTTTCTAAGAATTTGCGCTCCATGCAGAGACCGTGGCATGCATGTGAACCGTCGTGCAGGAATATGTTAGGCAGATCTCAGCTTCAGATGTGGAAGTGGGGGAGCAAACGTTGCAGCAACTGAATAGCAAGTAATTTTGATGCTGGCAGAGTTACGTGTTAAGTTGAGGCACGCTGCAGCACCAGGGGCCAAGCAATCAGAAGAGAACAAGCATTGAAGGCCATGCCGTGACAAGCAAGGCTCTCGAGTTTGTTTTGGATCCTGCGGACTAGCCTCATGGGCACCACATTGAACTTTCCCAGGCAAGCAACTTCTCTGAGCATCAAGAGTATGTTGCTTCTTTGCAGCCAAGTGTCTTCGCTACATGCCGCTTGTGGGTGGCCTGATTTTCCGAACAGAGACGATGGCAACAGCGCAACGGAACATCTAGCCTTCGTTGGCCGCCCCGGATGATTTGCGCTGCCGTCAGTACCTCATTGACCAACTTGGGTAGGTCTTGCTGCCATGCTGGTGAGATGTAACAACATCCCGAATCAACATATGCATATACATACAGAAAGCGTTGTTCGGGGGGCGCCAGTTTTTGAGGTTTACCAGGACGCCCTAATTTGCACTTATTCGACTCTTCCAGCGCAGGCGAGGAGACCCCTTGGGTAATAGGCGAGGCGAGGACTAAGTAACTACCAGTAAGAGGGTGACCGCTCAGGTAATTGTTGCAGCAAGCATGCAGTAGTAAGGGGGCGAGGGGTGACAAACAGAAAAAATCCATTGTTGACATTCATGTTTTGGTTTGTTACCCTCACTCTCACTCACTGCAACCCCCCCCCCCTGTCTCTTCCTTCCCGCAAGCACGAGGCCTCGTCTCCGTAAGCCTTTTCTTGACAGCCACGTGTCTCCACCCCCCTAATTCGCTAGCTGATTTAGAACAACAGTACTCCTTTACACATGTCAGTGCTCGACTGCTATCTAACCCGAACCCCAATTTAGAACACTCTACATCATATATCTATATATATATATATATATCTGTGCTGATTGCCTTGTAGCCTATGAAGGGCAGATCACCCTAAGCTTGTTCCATAAACATCATTAACAAATGACCATCCGTATGCGAACACTGAGGCAGGCCGCTGTCAATCTCGAAACTGACGAAGACAACCCTGATATAAGTTGAAAGGAAACGCAGAGGCCGTGTCTTGTGTATTAGAAGCGTAACACCATCAGGATTGCATATGGGGAGTCTTTGCTAGCCATCCTCGTTGCGTATGTCGAGCAGGAAGGTGATCCCAAATAACTAGTCTTCATGGCGTCTGTGCTGATGTCCTTGTTATGAGACTTGTGATGGAGCCTTGCAAGCAGTTTGTCGAGCTTCATTTTGAGGAGTTCCTTTCCCGCGTTTTGCTCGGAGGCCAAAGATCCCAAGAGAGGTGCTTATTCCCTTGGCCTATACTAATTGAGGTCCTGAAGCGAAAAAACTACATTACAGCGAATGAGACTCTGTAGGAGAGGTTTGCTTTAAACACAACAAGGAGAATGGAAATCCAGGAACAAATGACAACTCACTTGCTAGGCCCTTGCAGCAGCGAACCTCTGTTCTTGAGAATGGAATGCAAATCTCTCTTCTCTGCAAGCGAAAGCTGCATTCATTGCAAGTGCTTTTCTCAGGTTTAAGGCTTGAGAGCTTCGCGGCGAGGCTGGCTGCTTGGTGGGAGTGGGGGGTTGTCGGGGGCTGCAATCATTGGCAGGGGCACATGTCACCATCGACTCAAAGCTTTGCATCGCCTCCTGAAACAACACTGGAGCTGAGAGCGCCCGAAGTCCAAAGCTCTGTATGAAGCAAACCAAATTCTGAAGGCTGTCCTTGTAGTCGCAGGCAACCTCCTTGCCGTCCTCACACACTGGAAAACATGTCTTCGTGCCATCCAACACTTCCTGGAAGGCAAAAAATCCTTGAAGTTGACGCTGCAGTCCACTGGTTCCACACGTGCAGACTGCTTGCCTGTTTAGGTGAGCATCTGCTTGTTGCGTGCTTCCCTATGACGAGAAGGCGACGTCAAGTGCGGGAAATTCGAAGGCACTAGGCTGCTAGCCAACCTCATGCTGTCAAGTTCTGAGGCCACAGCCTCCAAACTCATCACCACGTACCGAAATCGAGGCACTTGACGAGCAGCCCATGGGTCAAACCTGAAAGCGCAAGCCTTTATCATCTAACAGCGCGAGTTCTGGGCAAACTGCGGAATACATGCACACGCCAAGTACCTAACAGTCACTGCGCGGCCTGGTCTTTGATCAGGGAATTGGGATCAAGGGGTTATCATGCTGGAGCCAAAACACCAATAGGCCGGTGCAGAGGTCATATATCCACTGGAAGCTTTGGCAGCAAAGCGGACAAGGCATAGCTCAATTTTGGCTGCCTTTGGCAGTTGTGAATTGCTAGATGCCCAGCGAACAGGTTGTTCCTGTAAACCTGGGGTCAGCAACTCTGAAAGGCAAGGTCGTAGCACTCATCCTAAAACGCACCTTGCACTCGGCAGACACTCGGGCAGCAACCAGGGCGAAAGCGCTTGGCGCAATATGTTGAACTCGCGTCACACTAGCTTTCTTCCTGCAGTCACGGCATGTCTCGACAGGATCCTCGTGGGAGGCTCGGCTCTGGGGCTCCCAGCCGATGCCCAAATCCACCTCGCAGATCCAGCCTGGCAGTCACAGAGGGTCTGAAGGCTCAGTGCTCAAGTGTGCTCAAGTGTGCTCAGGTGCTCATGCATTTCCTGACTGTGTCTAGCGAGACCAAGATAAGAATACTACGGGCTTTCCCTCAGCTGGCAAATTGTTGCAAACAATGTAGCTAATAGAGTTTGCCAAAGGCTGGGGCAGGGATGTGCGTTGAAAGATACTCTCGTGGACTCCTAGTGGCTGAGGCAAGAAAAGAGAGTCTTAGGAGTCCCGTGCCGGGGGTCTCTACCATATTCACCTGAGATTCCAGAGGACACAAGTCGTTACGAGCCGGGACCAATCTGTTGCACAGGGCCCTGCCTGACCATGGCTGCGTCTCTGAGCGCTGGAGCGGCGATGGGAGCCTGGCTGCCGCTTCAACAAAGCCTCAGAATTCGCCCGCAAACTGCCAGGCCTCACGGAGAAGTGCTCTCCTGGCCCGAGCCTAAAGCACTCGAAATCCCCAAATCAAGGCTTAGATTCTGTATCGCTGAGGCCATGGCCCTTCGGGTACTCTGGCACCCAACCACTGCTGGTCCCAGGCCCCACTTCCCTCACGATTAGGATCAGCTAAGCACGAAAAGCAGCTAGAATCTGCAGTGTCACGCAACTACAGGTTTTGCTCTCACCCATCCTCGCAAGGGGTGCGTATGTTTTTTCTGTGCAAGCAGCCATTCATCCTTTCGGGGATATGCATGAAAGCCAGCGAGCAGAGCGCGGGAATCCGTATATTAGACTTCAAACTTTCTTCTTGCTGTGCACAGCGCACAGGGTCTGCAGTCTCCAACTTGGACTTGAGAGGCAAGGAAGCACAAAAACACTGCAAACATGACACAAGCTTTTGTGGCAAACAACTTGGTGCAGGATTCAGCTTAAACTTTTCAAGCCAGCCTTGAAGGCCACCAACTCCCCTGAATCCGCAAAGCTTGGGACCTGCACACTATCTCGACAAGCCTTCATCTCTTGGCGGTCTCTAGAGAATCCACAATCTCTTTAAGCTTCAGCTTCTGGAGCTTCTGGACTGTGCTGAATGTGAGAGCCCACACCTTGACCAACATGGATGGCGGTGCAACCTGGAAGGAGTCGCCGGGCACCATCCCTGCAACTGCTTGCAAGTGCTGGGATCGAGTCTCTCTGTCTTTTATTTACTTTCCGTTGTGTTTTGGCACTGGTTCCCGGAGTACCAACACAAACGTAGCCTCAAGCGGTGGGCTTCCCGTAGGCTGGACGGGGAGAAGCAGCGAATAGTCACGGCTTCGCTCCGTCGCTCTGTGCAGTGGTGTCTTGCGTGTCTTGAATCCCAGCTTCTCCTGGTATATCGTCTTATGCAGCAGGCAACTGTTTGAGGCTAGCACTTGAAGGCCTGAAAGTTTGTTTAAAGGGTTTAGCCTATCTTGTCTTTAAAAGGTCTGGCCATCATCTCGTCCCAAAGGCCCCACTTTACGAAAATGAGCCGTCAAAAGAACGGCGGTTCTGCACTTCGCGAAAAGCATGTGCGCAGAACTGTGGTGGGAGCGCGATCAAGACGCCAAATTGAGAAAACGCTCCATGCAGAAGCGCGTTGCAAGCTTAAATCGTGCCTAAAACCCCTTCAGTTCTGCATTTCACGATCAGGACGCCAAAGGAAGGATGCTCTAGACGAGAGCACGAACAATACGCCTAATCGCTGGTTGCGAGCGGAACACGTCCCAAGGGCGACAAGTCTTTGGAGCACAGGCCTCGAACATGCTGATCGAATATGTACAAATAATTATCAAATTTCATGCTGCTCAGGCGAACATCTTGGGAAATACGCTGCCTGGCGAGCAGACTTTGCAAACATTGACATGGTCATTCGATGGTCATTGGAACAAGGTTTGGCGCTAAGCATTTCCCGCCTTTGCCAACAAGAGAATTGGGCGGCGGTACTCTTTGGAGGCTAGCTTGACCCACCTTCCAAAAGTGGTGGGTTTGCAAGGTAAGCTTGCACGGCTTGCAAGAATTGCCGGGGGGAGGGGGGGGGGGCGGGGGGCCAGCCCCCCTTTTGCAAACATACTGATCAAATGCCATTCTGATTGCACGAACCTTTTGATAAAAAGTGCAGGAGTTGGGAGCAGCATTTGAAAACGTAATGATGAGATGACATGCTGCTTTTGCCAAGCATTTGAAAAAAGGGGAGGGTTGTGCTTACTCCCGTTGTGCTCCAGTGCTCACGCCTGGCTAGCTTTCGTTGCCCTCGCTCGCCCCTCAGGTTGTAACTTGCAGCTGTCGTAGCCTTGTAAGAGCCACAAAAGTTGGAGGGGCTGCGCCCCGCCCAAACCCCTTCGACATTTTGGTAATGCAAGCACAGGCTATCATGCAGACTAAGTTTATACTATTCAAAGCGTCCGATGGCCCCAAATGTTATTATGTGCCTTTTCCAAGCGCTCTTAGTGCCTGCAGTTTTTGACAAATTTCAGGTGCTGTCAATTACCATGTTTGCAGCCCTACCAAAGCTGCTCGTAGCTTTCAAGTGCTGTACATTACAACTTTCTTTTTTCAACAGAAAGGTACGCTCTTGTGGCCTTAAGATAAATGCTATTTATCCCTGCTTTCTATGAAAAATAATGTATCTATTTGCAGGAAGGATGCAAGGCTGTCTTGTAACGACTGTGATCTAGAAATGTAATAGAGATGCAGAGTACTAGATTAATCTCATTGGCGCTCAAGTGTTTAAATATACTACAGAAACATTATAACAGATTAACTGGTAAACAGGATAGGACTTAAAATAGCTCGTAGGATATGTAGGATTACGTAGATGGCAGGTGGCGGGGGGGGGAAAATCTCTCGTCTTCGTTTGGAAAAGCCGTTTTTTGGCCTCTTTATCATTGCTAAATATATGATGACCTGCTGTTATTTGCACGAAGGATGCAGAGCTGTCCTGTGACTTCTTTGATCTAGCAATTAAATTGAAGCACCAATAAGGTGTTTATACGTTAAATGGTAGAAGGTCTAGGATTCAGCACTATTTTGTAGGATTCCTTCAAGGGCGGGCGGCGGCTAGGGGGAGGAGGGGGGGAGGGAAAAATGATAAAACGCGGCCTGCTAGACTAGGGCCAGGTCGTGCAATCAGCATGCCGTTTGACCGGTTCAAATGCGGGGCTCTGCGCCCCCCGTTCTCCCCAAATTCGAGCCGCGCAAGCTTGCCTTGCAGAGAGCATCTTCCCATCCCCATGTTGACGAAGGTAGCCTGCAAATGCGTGTTTTTCAAGCTGTGCAACAAGTGTACCTGACAAAGAGCACAGCGTCCCATCATCATGTCGCCAAATGCTGGCTGCAAGTGTGTATCTTTGTGCGTTTCGTCTGAAAATCATGTCATGTGATCATTCTGTTGACAAGTTGAAGGGGCCTGCAAAGCATCTCCTAAAATCTCTCCAGGGGCCTCAGAAACGGCCCTTCCACTCTAGTCTGCATTCCAGACTCCACATCCTGTTCTGCGCAATCCATGATCCCGTATCCACCGTCCACGCCACTGTCTAATCCACTTTATACCACACTGTCAACTCCACGTCCCAAGCAATGTACTTTCCAGTCCACTTTCCCATTCACAAGATCAGGCTCGGTTTACACAACTCTGAGGATGACAGGGGATTGAAGCACTGGAGAACATAAACGAAGAGCTAGCCGGCGACTCGAGGATGGAGAAAGCTGGATATTAGATGTGTGACTTACGGGCGTAGGATGTAATATTTGTAGCTGGAATGTCGGATTTTGTCCACTCTCCATTCCACTTCTCCACACTTCACTCTCCACTTGCCACACCCACACCCCTCCACTTCACTCCCATTCCACTTTGGACCTCTTTATGCTCTCCTCGCTCCACTCCACTCCGCTCTCCACACTCCGAGCTCGACGCTCCGGCCTCTCCACTTTCCAGTCCACTCTTCAAGCCAATCTTCAACCACTTTCCGTTCCACTTTCCACTTTCACTTTCGATTCCACTTCCACTCCACCTTCCGCTCCAATTTCCATTCCACCTTCCACACCACTCTCCAATCCACACTTTCCATGCCAAAACTCAACGGCTGGTCCGGGTCTCTATTCTCAAATGTTACATGGCTTTCAGTTTGATGCTTCTCTCAAGCCTGCCGCGGATCAACAGGCCCCAGCTTTCACTTCAACCTCTCGAATTTTTCCAGGTGTTCAAGAATTTTCTCAGCTGCGTCCCACTCTCCATGGATTTGGTCGCTGTCCCTCATCCACCGTGCCAACTTGTTCTGCTTCCGCTTCCATAGCTTTCATGCCATCTTGTTCTCTTCGACCAGGGTTCCTTTGGTTCCAGTCGTGCACATGGTGGCCCCCGACCGATTGCTGCGAAAGGCTCTCAGAGTTGCCGAGCATCACGGACTTCAGAAATGCGACTGTGATATGTCAATATCCTCACTCTAGCTCTCCCTTAGCTCTCCCTCAGCTCTCTGATCTTTGGTCTTCTCAGTCAAGTGATGAGGTTTGGCCTTCCGGAATTTGAAATTCCATGGGTAGACCATCACCTTGGAGACATCCCGTCATGAGCCAAGGACGGATGACGAATGCAGGCACCGCACGGTCCACGTAGCGCAAGCAACTGCCCGCCGAGAAGCCTCTGAGTGGGTCTCAAAAAAGGAGAACCAAAACACGCCAAGAAAACGGCCAGGCCTGGTGGCACCTGGAAAAGGCGGAGAGAAAGAGACAAAACCGGCAATTCAGCGTTCCAGCGTTTCGCCTCGACTTCATACTCGGCGGGGACGCTGAAATCAAACGTAACAAGCCTGAGATCATTGCCCAAGTTAACTGGGATAAGTGGTATGCAGTGCTATGTCTACGAAGCAGTTGGTACTGTAAGCATCTCAGCTCACCGCTCGCCAGGCTTGGAGGTGGGAGGAGCCCGCACCTTGCAGCAGAAGCATAGCTTCGCACGTTGGAAACATGTGTCCCCTGTGCCTGCAACTGGAAGTCCCGTCCCTCCACCTGGGAAAGGAAAACAAGAGAGCGGGGAAGCACTAGGGGCGATAGTAAAAAACATAAGCGCAAGGCGGTGATCTCCGTGTTGCCCTCAGGGACCACGGCGCAGAAGGTGACCTTCGCAACGTAAAGCCATCCCCATCCAGTCCCCTGCCAGGAAAGGCTTTGTGAGGCATCTCCCACTTCCATGCAGGAGATTGTTTTGAGCATGTCCCATCCAGGAAGAAAGCATGTGTTCGAGAAGGTTCATGCACCATCTTCCAGTCCGAGAGTCATCTATTCTGAATCGCTTCTCGATGTTGCCAAGAGTAGCTTACACACAAGTAGGGAAGGGATGTGTCAATGGCAGCCTGGTCTTTCTGAGCATAAATTAGCCGATTGTGTAGATGATGCCCACACGTACAGTAAGATACATGGATTCAGCCCGCAAAAGCGAAAGCCACGACCCACAGTGGGGTCCCAGAACAAGAGACTCTGTGTAAAAAAGCCTTCTTGATAGGCCACTCACATCTGTGGAGACCAGGAAGATCCCAATCATAACCCCATTGGCTCCCGGCACCAGGAGAAGCTGCAGCCTCTATGAAGCCGGAAGGAACTGATGCACCACTCCTGCGCCGGGGCTTTGAATCGAACCAAACCATCACGCCATGCTACACCATGCTTTGCACCTCTGTAAAGGGAATGCATCGACCTTGGTGCTCAGCGCCCAGCGCTGTGTCAGGGTCAGGCAGCCGGGAAGTGAGGCAGGAGCAACGCTTTTTGCTTTTTCCAGCTCTTTCACAAACTCGGCGATGCTCTTCAAGCCTCAGCGCATCTAGGCATCCAACAAGGTCCCGCAGAGAGCAACCCTGTGTGAACTTTACGTTGAACATGCGCCTTTAACCGGGCAGCAATGTGAACTTTGCCCCCCACGCTGCACAAACAAATCAAAATCCCTTGGTCAATCTTTGTTGGGATGCGGACGTGTACATGACAACAGCGGGGTGTCCTTGGGAACTGTTGATGTTTGAGCCACGAACAACACCAAGGTCATAATCTGATATAATTTGCAATCAAGTCCTCCGCTTCGACCCAAGCGTATGGAAGCTCAACCTTGAATCTTTCAGTTTCCCCAAGCACAAAGTCTCCAGAATTCAACGAGTTATGCTCGCTTCCGCCACGCCTCGCCCGGAGCTACCACGACCTCCTGGCATCAAGGTCGCAATCTAGCCCTCTTCAGGTGGGTGTGTGTGTGTCGCCTCTGAAACACAGCCTTTCAGAACTGCGCAGCATGGGCCAGCAAAGCTCCGGAGCATACGCTTTTTCCTACGGGAGACTTCGATCTTTGTGAGGCAACACCAACCTTACTCCCTGCATCACGCAGAGATTTTGACTATGCTTGACCCTTTCTCACTGTGAGCCAAAGACTCTGCTCCTCGTTGGCAAGAGTTGGAATGGTGTAGAGTACCATGCACTTGCAACTGACTGTCAATGTTCTGCTAGAGCTGGAACCAGAACTGTACCCTGCCCTTGACCCCCCCTAGGGCGGCAGCAACCACCACACCATCCAGCGTCACAACAGTCGAAGCAGCCAAAATGGCAACAGCGACCTTGAATATTGCGGCCGCGAAGGATGAAATTGCTTGCTACTTCTTGTCTTGCTCCAACTCCAACTCCCCATAACCACGCCCACGATTACGGCTGCAAATACTCCCCCTCGTCCGACTATGACTATGCCTACTACCCTTCTACACCTCCTCCTCCTGCTGCTGCTAGTACCAGCAATACTTTCTTCTTTTGCTGCTATCCTTAGTCGGACATGATGGCCATGACAGCACTATGCTTCTCCTCCCCCCTCCTCTGACTCTAACACTCGTGCAGCAGCTGCTGATGCAGCTGCTGCCCCTACCGGCACTGCTAGCAGGACTACAGCCACACTTCCTATAGCTGCTGCAAATGCTACGAGTACCTGGCACTTCTACTCCTCCCACTACCAAGATGCCAAGATGCAAGCCTTTGCCTCCCGAAGCACGACAAGAGATTTTGCCGCTCGCGCTTGCCGCCTCATTCACCTGTTTTTCCTTCTGCGCAGCAACGTGCGCAGCACACCGGCGTCTGACTTCATGTTTTGGAACACTTAGCTTGCCTCAATAAACATGGGAGATAGGCCTGAAAGTCCAACGTCCGGTTTCCTGGTGCCCAGGTGGCACCCTAATCTGGAGCACTGGTCTGCAATGGGATGCACCCCCAACTCACCAGCGAAAGAACACCCAACAGCTTCCCACCTCAGCAGCCGGAAGACAAGTTACGTACTCGCGGCCATGACATTCTAATGCGCCTCAGAGCTCCTCCTTCGGGAAGCAGCAGCCTAAATAAGGCATCAGCGCTGACCAGAGCGCACACGGATTGCAGGCGTTGCTGGGAGGCTGGGAGGTTCGGGCGATCGTAGTTGTAGACGCCGTCCCAGCACTGGGCATTGCCGTTGGGCCCGAACCTTTGGGAAGTGAAGCTTAATGTGGGAAGATGAACTTAATGTGGCCGCATCACAGCGCCGAAGCTGGGCAGGCGACTTGGCTTCACAACAGTTCTCGTAGCCGAAACCCTCGGCCCAACCTGGCAGATCTGCAGGTACGAGTTTCCCGAAGCGCTTCGCTGAAGCTGCACTGGGACTCTGGCACTCAGAGTTTCCAAGAGCTAAGACCTCAAGAAGCTACGTACTTTCAACTCTCCTCCCATGCTCCTTTCTGAGGCCGCGGACAGTGGTGCCTGGGGGATGGCAGCTTTTCGAACCAGAGATCCAGCCCTCGCCTGAGAGAGGGAGAGAAACAGCTTTGCCCCACAGCTGACCGAACTCTCCACGTTCTGCCTGCTTCCCTCCCGTCATCCCCTGTCCGAAACCAGCACCTGCCAGAGGTGTTTTACATGCATTACATGCTTTGCCAGCATCTGCATGCCATGGTGAGTTTTGTCTAGTCAGCTTTGGCCCCGGCTTCTGCTCACCCTCCTCCGTGCCCCAGACCTCGCCAATTTCAACCGACAAGAAGACCACACTGCATCACACTGTGCCCGTCAACTAGGAGGCACGCCCAATGCGTGCACCTGTCCGTACACGAAACATGAGAAATGCCATGCATTGCTTTTCGACTCTCTCCAGGAATCGAGCTCGGGCAGCGAGAAGCACACCTCACCGCTGCACCGCTTCATCCTCTTCTTTCTTCAGATCTCCGAAGCGGCCTCTCTAAAACCCTTTTGTGGGCCCCGGCTTTTGCACAGGACTCGATCTCGTTTGCTACAAACTTGTCGCTGCCTCAAGACTGGCAATACAGGCAGTGCATCCCTCTCAAGTTGGTACTTGGCCGAGAGAACGGAAAGCCAGCCATGGAAATGGTCAGAACTGGAAGTTTTGTTTTGCGACTTTGACCTTCACCATGGCTCTTGAGAAACGTTGTCAGAAGACTCTGCTTGCAATTGATCATGAGGTCAATCTGCCTGAAGTGTGCAAGCTGAAGCTTCCCCGCTGAAACTAACAATCAACAACAACCAGTTGCAGTGGTCAAGCATCAATCGGTATCGCATTTGCAAATTAAACAAAGACGTACTGCAGTTCGCGCTTCGGCCAGGAGTGTGTTGGTGCCACGAGTGGTTAGGAAGAAGTCAGCTTGGAAGTTGTCGTTCACCATGTTAGTTCTCAGCACGTCAAAGTTGATGTAACAGTCAAGGCAGACAAGGAACAATATCAATGCCTGACGACTTCATGTGGCAGTAGGTCGGCCGTCCGAGTTTAACAGTTCAGCATGTCAACTCAAGCAGCGAGAGGAAGCAAAGCTGTCTCTTAACCTCAAAAAGGGATATGCTTCTTTATTGTATAGCTTGCGTTGACCAATTGTTCTGCGCGTCTATGGGCACCTCGGTAGCATCACAAATACTGAGGGATACCAGAGCCTGCTGTTCGTTGGTCTTCGGGATTTCTCAAGAGTTTGGCAGCTCACGAACATGCTTGCTTTCTCTAACTGAGAGGAAGTGTGCTGGGATTTCTGGGCTTCACAGTGGCTGCGGCTACTGCAGACAAATGAGTCAAAAAACATGTCTGTGATCTGGTGCACAAATGCATTCTGGAGAAGCCAGGAATGACACTCATGCAATCATCCAGGAAGCAGCCGATGACAGCACCGTAGCCTGCGGAACGAATCTTTGCTGTCGACAGGGGATACCAAACGGGTGCGTAGGTCTCTGCATTATTCGAGTTTGAGTTGCCTTGCAGGTTCGTGAAGAGCGCCTTTCCTGCATTTCGGATCACAGTGTTCTGCTCCTGGCTGGTGCATGCTGGCGCAGTGTGGTTTGCCGCATCTGGAATTGTTCTTGCCTGACATGCCGGCCAATTCTGTGCTGCCACTGGGGCCAATAAGACCTGAAAGAAGACTCATCGCAGAGCAGAAAGCAGAGGAAAGAGCAGAATGGCAGAAGGAGGGAAAACGGGCCCCGGGCCAGCAACCAAGCCGGAGCTTGGACCTGGCCACATCGAAAAATGACCCGAACCTTTTTATCAAAGTTCGTTCCCAGCTGGCAGACAAAAGGTGGCGGGGCCACCATCACAAAGAACGAAGGCACCTCTCTCACACAAACTCTCTCTATCACTCTCTCACGACACAACTTGCGCCTACATTGAGAACTTCGGAGCCTGGACAAGGAAGAGCGGCAGGAGTTCTAAGACGCCGGGAGCTCGAGCCGGCAAAAGGCGCACAACCGGGTACAGAGAATCGTTGGTCAGCAGACACTGGCTGCCCACGCCGCATCTTGCTGGGCTGCAGGATGCTTTGCCAGCAAGACACAATGTGCTGAAACAGCATAGCAAATTGGTCAGATCACTTGAAAGGTCCTCTAAGAGACTTGCTGTCAAGGCTATCAGTCAACCAAGGTACTGGGCCTTGAGGGGCAAAGCGGCAAAACATCTTCGGCTCCGCGCAACGTCCATCCCTAGAGCAGAGGGAAGACAGGGCCTTGGCCACTTGCAAGCCTCGGGCGCCTAAAACTTTCAACACAACTTTAGAGCCCTTACCATCCAAACGGCTGAAGCTCTGAGACGTCGAAGTCCACCAGTGACCCTCAGCACTTGACACACGGATGATCGCGCAGGTCGCACAGCGACATGCAATTTGACTCATGTACTGCTGGATGACGTTCAAGTGGACATGCCAGCGAAATAAAGCAAGGTCACCTTCTCAACTCAACCCGCGTTATGCTGCGCCTCTTGGCCAAATCATCTCAGCAAACAGCACATCTCACATCACCTCACATCATTCCGTATCCCTTCGACGCCTGCGTGCAAGCTTCTTTTTCTCAAAGCACCATTTGGGCTTTGTCGTCACCTCAGCAAGCTCTCAGGTTCTGTGAAAGATGTCCATGCAAGATCATTTGGTCCACGGCGGGGAGAAGACAGCGAAGTCTCTGGGAGTTGGCCACCTGACAGCTGAGGAAAACAGTTAATGCGGCTTGGAAGTCTGCGAGGAGCATACGTCTCATACAGCCATCTTCGCAACCTCCAGCGCCAGCGCCGGCGCCACGCAATGCGGAAGCCGTCCTCAAAAACCATGCCATGACACCATGATGCCATGATGCCTGATGAAGCAGGACTGCCGCAAGCCTCGGAAGATCTTCTCCTGACAAAGGCAGACAGCTGATGCGCTCTTCCAACGGCTGACACTGTTCAGTCCCAGACCCAAAGAGTTGACAAAGGTTGCAGCCGGCTCATCGACCCCCGACCGAAACCGTGCAGTCCCAACGGCAAAGCAAGGCAGTTTCACATGAATAGTGGAATCGTGAAACGGTGAAAGATGGTGAGAAGTATGTTTGCGCCTCCTCCGGCTCTGGGACTTGGAGCCCTTGGAGCCTGAAGGTTGAATGTAATGCGCCCCCCCCCCCCCCCGCAAAGGATGCGTCTCAAAACCGGTTGGCCTCTTGGCGCTGGCCGGTCGCACGCTGTCGGAGCTGCCGAAGCTGGCGCAGCTCGCCACGCAGCCTCCAAAATTCAGGAAGGGCTGAACACATGCAGGGAAAAACGCCTGAGCGTGTTTTGAAAACAATCTCTGGAGACACTTCCACGCTGGCCTTCCATCTTCGGAGACTGAACTCTGAACCCCCCTGGTCTGTAAAGGACTGCGGGCCTGTCCACCTCCGAGACCAGGTCCAGACGCCTTTGGCGCTCCAGAGCGCAGACTCCCGCTGTTTGGCCACCTCAAAATTTCTGAAAATCTGGAAAGGAGCTGCAGAAAGACCAACCAAAAGGTTGCGTCCATGGCACCTGGCCTGCAAGAAGCGCGGGGACGCCACTTGTGTGGAGCGCCGCAAAGCCCAAGCTGGCAACCTTGGTCAAGCTTCCTATCCATCAGTTTGCCGATTGAATGTTGGCCCAAGGCTCTGAGACTGTCTTTGCTTGCAAGCCATCTTATCCCATGAGTGCCTGGTCCTTGCAAGACTGCTGCCTGCGCACTCTGCACACCGAAGCTCGGCACAGTTCCACTTCCCTTGAACAAGCACTGGTAATCAACTTGCCGCCATGTTTTAACATGCGGGGGTTCAGAGAAACAGTTGGACAATACATCACAAGAGCACAACCAAGTACGTACACATCAGAATGTCTCATGTTCAATGGTTGTCAAAGGGCCCTTTTTCCCCAAACCGTTCAGTGCCACAAAAATCTGAGTGCCGAGCCAGAACACCAAAAATCCCAGAGGTAAGGCTCCGCTCAAGCGGCGAGCTCCGGAAAAAGAGATCCTGCACTTTAGCATTATGCTTGGTCATTGTTTCCATGCCGCGCCTCGCCCTCCAGCCACATCAGCAGCTTCTCTCTGCCTCAGGCCAACCAGGTGACCCAGCTCCCACATGCAGTACCTCCAGAGCCTGTTGCAGGCCGCCGCATTGTTCGCGACCGCCTTTTTGGGGCCTGCACTCGCAGCACACCTGGTGATTTGCCTCGCAACCGTCCGCAAGCATCAATGGTGACCCTGCCTTCTTTGAAGCCACTGGATCCTCGCAGCCGTCCACTGAACCCATTGCAGTACCAGCACAACGTCGACGTGGGCCGTAGAGCTGCCAAACTGTCAAAGAAAGTTACGTCGAATTGTGTTGTGTCACGATGTGTCACGCTGCACCGCGGTGTGTCGCATTGTGCTTCGGGCTTCGGTGACGTCTGTTCTCTGAGCCATAGTTTCTGGTTGCGATCGACCTTGAAGCTGTCAGACTGGTGCATGCTGCTGGGGCATTGCTCTTTTGCGTTTCCCTTCAAACCTTCGATGACTGGCTGCCTTAAAACAGTTTAAGCGCCCCTCTGTACACGTGGCAGCTATGCATGTGGTGGGCAAGACCCTGTCAAATCCTGCTCACCACGATTTGGAAACTCTTGCATTCTCCTCTTGTGGGCTTGAAGAGTCTGCTGGACCGGCGTTACCGCAAAGAGCCCCGGATAGAATTCGCCATACTTCTCGCCTGGATCCCTCTTCACGTTGTAGAAGTCCATGCCAGGGAGGCCGCCCTTGCTCTCCTTCAGATGGATCTTGAAGTTCTTGTGACGGATTGCTCCCAACCTGAGTTGCGAGTGCCGTTTCTCAGCCATGAACCCTCCTACCCTCCTGCTTCTGGGGGCCCAGCTGGCTGCCGCTGTAGTGGAACATGGTGCTCCTTCACTCAACAAACACACAAGCAGGCGCCAAAGCAAGAAGCATTGTCCTGCGCCCGTGCCCTTCTCCCAGAAGAAGCAGCGGCACCTTCCAGCCCAAAAAGGCAGTTTGCCCAAAAATGAGACTCCTGAGCGTTTCTGGGCCTGGTCGACGCCATCCACCACCCGGTCCTGGCCAGTCAGGCACAACATCTGCAACAGTTCCTGCTTTTCACGGCCATGTCTGTCACCGAGACTGATGGGTGCTGGATTAGCCAGGATGCATGATAGAACACCAGTGTAGCCTAGGGCCTAGCGGGTACAAGAAGAACAACAGAAGCAACAGCAGGCCTGGGCCGTTGCAACAGCAAGAACTGCTACTGATGAAAACCTGCGCACAAACTTGATTGCTGCTTTTAGAAGCCTCATAGGATGTATGTGGACGCCTGCCTGAACCAGTGTAAGCGATCCATGACAGGAGAAGTCTGCTAGCTTTGGTGACAAGGCCATGGACTTCTCGAGAAGAGCAGCTGCTCACAACCAGTTCTCCCAAAGCTGACGCCTTCGTATTCCGAATCGTGGCTGTGGTTGGATATCAAAGCATCCAAGCACGAAACACTTGACACGTGACCTGAGAATGCCAACCTCAAGAACACACCCCCTTCGTGGACTGCTTCGGGCTGCTTGGATCATGACCTTCCAGCATGATATTAGAGCAGGCCAGCATGATATTAGAGCAGGGCAGACATTTGGAGGAGTGGAGGAAAGGTCCTCAGGTACATGGGCCAAAGCACCACCCAGACGGGCGGCTGTGGTGTAGAGATCCTTGGCCACTCAGGCTCAGTGGATCTCAGTGGCTCACAGCCTTGTTCCTAAACGTCCTAAACGCGGCTGCAAGCGAAAGACGGTAAGATGGATCATGTCCACAGGGTCCTGAAAGAAATGCAAGTCCAACTCAAAAAATCTTCCCACGCTTCGTCGCTTACCCGTCGCCTGATTCGGTTGGATGGTCCCTGGCCACCAGGCCATGGCTGGCACCCGGACGCCGCCCTCCAAGACCGTGCCTTTGCCGCCCCGGAGCCAAGAGTAGCCTCAAAAGGCTAACCCCACACAAGCTTCAAACAGCCACAGCCTTTCCACTTTCTGGCTCTGGCCTGAGTTGGGGAAGAACGCGTACATTGGCCCGTTGTCGCTGAACCTGCTGCTCCACTGCCCACAGCCGAATCTCTGAAACTGCACACACGCTGGCACACCAGACCACCAGCGTGTTCTCCGCAATGCCCTCCTAGATAACGAGACGAAGAAACACGTGCGAACAGAGAGATAGCAGACTGAAAGTCTGAGGTGCTTGCAGCTCGCAGTGTCGCGAGTAGACGATCAACGTATCCGCTGTGTGCCGCCATCATCGAAGCTTGCGCGTTGGCCGGGTCGACGTGCGGATCGTGCATCTGAGGTGCGGAGCCTCAAAGCTTCAGGATGCTTCGGGCCTGCACAGTAGTGGCGAACTGGACTAGTGACAGTGCAGACAAGGGACCTTGCAGTTGCTGCGTGTACGTGGCCCAGTAAATGAAGAATGGTCTCTCGTCCTTGGCCTTCTCCTGCACGTACCTCATGGCATGCTCACTAGCAGCACAGCACCCTCTGCCATCTGGCACAGCTAAGGAGCTGGATGATTTGGTCAATCGACTCTTTCTCAAAATACTCCTGCCTAGCTCCAAGAGAGCACAAGAGAAGATCCAGGATGCAGACCAGACAAAGGCTGAGGCCTTCGGGGGCCCAGGGTCCCAGCAGCTCCACCGAGCTTCTGCCGGCTTTGGCCGCGGCGACCGACAAAAGCAGCCTCCTCAGCCGTATTGTGTGGCTGGACTGCAATAGGACAATCTCCTTTCTGGGCTGCGCTCCGACAGGTCGATCCCCGTCTCCTCTTTGTACGCCTGCCCGCAAAGCTTGGATCAGGCGAATGCTGCAAGCAGTCGCAACCACCTCCACGCCGGGGAAATCATAGAACATTGCGCGATGCGGATTGGGGTAAGACTGCTGCATGTCCTTGGGCACGAGCCGCACTGCAAATTACGAAAAGAAAGTCACAGCCAAATCCTGAATGCATCTAAACGCTACCTGTGCTGCCTGGGGTCATGAGAGTCTGGCCAGTTGTCTGGAGCCCCGTTGAAGAGACCGTAATATGCATAATCGAAGCCTAAAACACATTCCGGCAATACGCACACTTCTAGTTTGTACAGAAGTGTATCAAATGTCAAGCCAGCAAATCTGTGAAAAGATGTAGCACTGATGTAGCTGTGTGAGTTTCTTTTGGTAATACGTTTGAAGCTGACACCCTTGCTTGTCCAGAGGCCTTGATTTTCCGGAGCATGCTCGGGCAGTTCTCCAAGATGCCTTGATGCAGGTTGGCCCAGCTCGTACACAGAGCATTGCTGCTCCAACATGCCCTTTCCGATGGCCAGGCTGCCATTTTCCCCACATGGCCTCAGAGAGTTGTCTTCTGACACCGCAATCTTTCTCTCTTAGACATGTTTTGATTTCCTGCTGCATTCATGCTGCCGTGTGATACCCAGCAGTCGACAACACCTGCGCAAGGATGGCACGTTGGCAAATGGAGGTGTCATTTGCATATCTTCCCTTTGAGGGCAGTTCAACGGCATGGAACAGAAAGCACGACAAGCTTGGCAAAGCGAACTGTGTGCACGTAAAGCAACTGGGAAGCAGGTAAGGAGCTGGGCGTTGAGCATTCCAAGAGAAGGTTTGAGGAGTTGTCAGTGCCTAGCAATGGTTTGAGAGGTTGTTCAACAAAGCTTGCGACTGTGTAGCGTGGGGTTGGCATTTAGATTGAGGGGGCTTCTTTTTCTTTGAAACTGAGGTCATGTGTGGTACAGGATGGTTTTGGTGCCCGACTTCTCCGAAAACGGGCCAGCGCATGCAGCGCATGCTTTTCAGTCTCTGAAGTCTCCTGACTTGACCCCGAGTGTTTGCTTTGCTTTCAGGTAACGTCGTGCGCCTCCGCGATGGTAAATTCTTCTGGCGAGAGGCCCTCTGTTTGGCCAGGCCAAAGGACCTGAGATTTCAAGAAAACCTTTCAATAAAAAAAGCCGCAGGCTTTGGGGCCGTTTGGGCCGTAAGCTGTTGTGCCTTGAGGAGGCCGGTGCGCACAGGATGGCGTCCCGTCATGATGGCGATTCCTAGGGTAATTTGAGAGTAGCACAGGATTAACCCCACTTTCAAAAAGACATGTCCAAGACACGGGAGGGTGTGCAAGAAGGCTCCGAGTACGACGACCAGAAGCGGATGCCATCGAAGGCCATCTTGTCCAGTCCTTCGGTTGGTGTCCCGCGGTGCTTGCCGCCGCCTTGCCACCCCATCTCACCCCAACCAATGTCATCTGCAAGGATGTAAATGATGTTGGGTTTCTTGCCAAATTTCGATTCCTTAGCGCAGCCCAGCTCCAGGAACGCACGGTTGTCCAATGACATGCTATGACTTTGTAGCCATGTCAATTCAACACTACAAACACTATTTGTTGGAAACGAAATATTCCGGGAAACTTGACTTTCAACAAGCGAGGGATCCAAGGAGGCCAGCTTCTTCTCCAAGGAGGCATCCTCCGCGGCCCAAGTCTTGTTGTTCTTCTTCAAGGAGTCCAGGAAATGGGCATCGTGCACCACCTGGAAGCCAAGAAACCAACTAATCTGAGAAGCTTTCTGTCTGTTCCTCCAAGGGACCGCTCGGACGAGAGGGAGGAGCGATGCCAGCGATGCGAGCAACGCGCGCTGCATGGCGCACGTAGCTGGGAGCAAGAGGCTTCGAGCAAAACGTTCAACGAGACAACGACAAACAACAAAAGAAGAAGAAGAAGAAGACAAAAGAAGAATCACCGCGCCAACTTCATTAAAAGCTGCTCAAGGCTCTTCTTTGTTTCTCCGAGGTGCGGGCATCCTGCATCTATGAGACGGTGCTCATGCATTGCCGTTCAAAAAGGCCATGCATGGGCGGAACGCGATCTGAAACGGAAAAAGACCTGCATAACCGGCTGCATAACATTGCATAAAGCCTGCATAACCCTATGCATCTGAACAGGCCTACAGCCAGTCCTAGCCCTGGGCACTTTGTCCCCGTTTAGCTTTGTATTGATCAGGCCAGGTCTGCGTGTTCTGATGATTCTGATGTCCCTTCGCGCTGCCGACGCTGCCAAAGCAGGGCGGCTCTGCATAGAGGTAGATGCAGGTCTCGGAATCAAATGTTTTATTCGTCAACAACCCACTTTTCAGCACCAAGGCTCGGGCAGTCATTGCCAGAATGGGGAGAAAGGTCTGCCACTCGAAGTGGTGCTGTCGGAAGTGCGAGAAGGAATAGACCATGTAGAGGCTCGGCCTCGGCTCAAAACACCAAAAACAAATGCTCTCATATGAAGCCTTTCATATGCCTTTCCTACGGTCCCGATGTCCCCAGCGCCCGGCGCTGCTGCCGACTTGCACACGAACTTCACCACGGCAGACATTCCTTGACAGCTCATCAGTGGCCCACGAGATTGCTTCCAAAATGCCGAGGAAAAGGCGCTTCAAGATGGCTACCGACAGCCAGCCGTTGCCCACCTTAGCCGAATGGTCTCATCACCAGCCCCATCCCCGAATCGGGACCCGCCTCAGCGAAGAGCACGCAGGCAGTGAAGGGATCCCATCCCCTGACAAGCTCATCATACGTCGCTCCCTGCGCCATGGTCTCACTTCCCTTGCCATCCTTGCCTCTTGTCGATGCAAGGGATTGTCACTTTGGATTTGTCTTCCGGGCAAAGCTCCTGCTATCGATTGGCAGGCTGATGTCGCAGCACCCATGCCTTGGAGGCCACTTCCTCCCTGGACCCGAACTGGACCATCGCAAGCAGCATGGCCACCTTGCAACATCCACATGCGTGAGCTGGTGGCTGTAGATTGAGATCGATGCAAGAATGCTGAGGTAGACACCAGAAGGCTCTGCATTTTCAGAAGCGTGTTGGCTTGCCACACGTCATACCTCGTTCGATGTAGAGCAAAAGATGTAGTACTATGAACCTTTACAGGCGCTGCTGTGCAAATGAGATGCTTCCCATGCTTTAGCGTATGCTCCTGCAGCACCGCGGCGACCGACGAGAGCCCCGCCTTGAGCAGCGCAAGTCCTCGGAAAATTGGGCAAGCCTTCAGGCTCAAAATTTTGGGGGTTTGTTCACTTTGCGCACTCTACTTCACTCGGTCACGAACCACTGCCCGTCAGCGTGCCTTTGCTCAAAATCAAGGGAAAAAAATCACCGAGCTCAGCCTGCAGGGCACAGCGCCTCTTCTGAGCTCCGCTTCCTGGCTGGAGCTGGTGCTGACCTGCACAGGAAAGCGCTCAGCACGGCAAAAAGAAGATTTGCCGAAGTCCGAGGCTCACGCTGCAAAGCACACGAGCGAAGCCGACATGGCTGCCAGAATCAGGCACTCCCGAATGCAACTGCTATGAACGCACCTGCCACGTGGAAGCACAGAAGCTTGCAATGCAAAGCTGCTAGCTGGGTGCGCCTTGGTTGACCTTCATCAGGCGAAGACTTCCAGCGATGGTAACAATGAGAGGCGATCGCAGCGAAGAGCAGCCTTCAGGCATTCTTCTGGTGCCAACATGCTGCAGCTCGACCAGAACCGTGACCCGCCTTGCGTTGCTCATGGACAAGAAAATCAAACCTGGCAGGTCAAACCGTGAGCTGAACGTACCTCAACATTCTGCATGGCCTCCACCTCTACCAATTGCACATAGGGCGACCATGTCGCCCAGGCAGTAGGTCTCAGCACTGAGAGTATCAAGTCTAGAGCTCAATTAAATAGCAAGGCAACGGCCAAGGTAAGCCAAACGAAGTCTTTGTGGTTTCTGCAAGCAGCGATCAAGTGCGAGAGCTTTACAAACGCAAGGCATTTCACCGTATCCAGCCTCCAGCACAGCAGCTCTCTAAGCTCCTGAAGGCCTCCCTGGCCGCTTCGCAGCTGCCTGGCACGAGAGAAACATGACTGTTTGCTTCTGTTGAATGAAGACAGACGCTTGATCTTGCAGGCGTGCTTTGGGGAGAAGAGGATGGCTGCCGCACCGATGAGGACGTTCACCAAGGCCTGGAACTGGAAACCGAAACTTGTGGAACCGCGCTTGCTGTGCTGTTCTGTCTGTGCTAGTCTCTACTGTCGAAGCTCCTCCGCCGTCACCACAGAGGCTGTCATGTAGGGCAGGCACCTGTATTCTCCCTCCGCATGCTTCCAGTACTGGAGCTTGGGAGCCCTGCACGTGCCTTGGGCCCCTGATGCCACCTGGCTCATACTGCGTAGCCGTTCGGGACATGTCAACCTTGCGGCCCATGCCCGGCTTCTCCTTCCCCAAAACCGCTCCACACATGCCGACAGACCATGCTCTGGATCTTGGATTCAAGCCATGGTGGGCATCAGCAATCCAACGCTGAGGGTGACCTGGACGATGGCAATCACGCTGCAGCTGAGAGCAGCCACCCAGTATCAACTTCTGCATAAACGCAGCACCCAGGCGTTCAGGCATTGGCCAGACATAGAATGAAGTTCACGACGATGCCGAAGGGCTGTCGCGTCCTCGTCCTTGGCTGCATGAAGTGTAGCCAATCAAAAGTACTATCCGAATCCTGCCGGAGCTGCTTGGGGACTCTGTCTTTGGGCTCTGGTGGAGCTTCCTCATCCTTCTGCACTCCAGAGTCGAAGAAGCAAAAAGAAATCTGGAGCAAAAAGAGGTGCCTTGATCTTGCTCAAGCTCTGAGGCCTCAGTTTTCAGTTCTGTGACCAAAAAAAGGACCGGCTCCAGCAACAAAGCACCGGGCTCCTCCCCTACATCCGATGCTGCCTCCTGTCAGGCTCGAGCACACGAAGTGAAAAGGAATCTTTGAAGATCTTTGAAGTGTATTCGCACAGAAGCACCTCTAGAGGCAAGAGAGGCGCACCCAGATCATGGTCGAATTTCTCAAGCTCCTCCAGTTTCCTGCTAAGACAGTGCGGTGGACTTGTGGCCTTCGTGTGAAATTCGGGGCCCGGACTTCTTCGGGGAGTCGTCTCTGCGGCCAGCAAGCGGGGCCGTAGTCTGCCTCCTCCTCGCGTCTCAGAGTCTCAGTACTGTCGAGAGGGAACTTTGATGTGTGGCATCCGCGCCACGACTGGGGAAGACGAGCTTGAGCTTGAGGTTGCACTGTACTGGCCTCACAGGAGATTAGATGAGAGCTGCTCCGCCATCAAGGTGCCCTCACCCCAAACCCTCACGCACCCTCTCACGCAGCCCGCTCGGCTTAGAGATCTCATCGTCCTCCATCTAACCTGGAGAAGAAATCCACGGAACTGCCATTTGACCCCAAGATTTGGCGCATTTGGCGCCTGGTGTTCAGCTTTGCCACTGCATGTTGCACAAGGTCGCAGGCTCGCAGATGCTGCTACAAGACGGTGCGTCACGATGCGTCACGATGCGTCACGATGCGTCACGGCTGTCTGGTAAATATGAATTTTGACTTGTTGCTTTATGGTGCTTCCATGTCAGCTTGCAGGCTTTGTCGGAGCTAAGGATGGAAGCAACCTTGCCCCACACTTCACGAGCGCATGTCTTTCTTTAAGAGCGACTGCCGCCGTAGAACGGCTGTTCAGGCACAAGCATGTCGTGTCCAGATCAATTTCCAGCATGGCATGTCAGAGGATTGGGGACGCTCACGACCAACCTCCTTGAAGAGAGGTTTCCACTTCGACCCAAAAGCAGAGTCGCAAGAATCTGCTGCGGCAAACGGCTTTTTGAATTCATTCTCTTGCCAGCTGACTCCTTTGCAGCACGGATCCTTGCAAGCTCCCGCAACTTGGGGCCGCTCAGCAGCACAGATCTCCAGGACCGCGACCAGCCCGATTTGGGGAAAGTTTCCCGGAATTGGCAGCCAGATCAAAACCCAGCAGTCCAATCCCCTCAGCTCATCTCCGCAGGACGTACTAGGCGAGCCTGGGGAGGCCCTTCACGGACAGGCCTGCCACAACAACAGCACACCAACTATAGAGCAACGCGCGAAGTGGAATCCTAAGACTAAGCCACTGAGCATCGAACATCTTGTGTTGCTCCTCGCGCATCCTTCGCACCTCATCCTTTAAGACATCGACCTTGGGCTGACTGCAATGGACCCACACACGAGCACTTCAGTTGCTTGCAATGTCTTGTAATTCATGGACTTGCAGCAGACAGGTAGTTCTACGGCAGCTGCAGTGAGGCGCTCGTGGTCCAACGTCTCGAGCTGCTTCTGCAGGAGTGCCTTCAGAGGGATGTGGGATGACGTGGGCATCGCCAGAAGCTGAGGCCCGCAGACCCGCCTGCTGGGAAGCCAGGCTATGCCCCAGCTCGCTGCCTGGAAAAAGACAAACGTGAAAAAGGTGCGAAACGAAATCAAGTAATTAAGTGCACTTGGAGGTTAGGCTCCAGCCGAGGTTGAGCTCCTCCTGCAAGCCGGCACGCTGGGCTCGGAAAGCCTCCGCACCCGAAGAATCCCATATCCCAATACATCCCACGTCTCTTCGTTAAATGGTCAAAGAGCCAAACCGCAGCAGAAAGCGGCCTCGCAGGCCTCGCCCAGGCGCCTCTGCGTGGTCCGGAGCCTCTTTTGGGCTTCGAGGAGATCCCTCCGCCGGAAATCCAGGCCCTGCTTTGCCAGCCGCAGCTCCGACAGCGCAGCAGCCTCCGAAAGCCCCAGCCACCTCTTTACCTCTTTTTTGGGATTCCGGAGCCTTGGGCTGGAAGGCCCCTGCATCAAGGCCAACAAAAGACGCCATGCACCCCAAGACTGAAAGCCGAAAAGCGGTTGCATCACTTTATGTCATGACGTAGATCCATGCTCCTCCATTGCAAGTCCCTGCTGCTCACGCTTATGTTATGTTTGCCGACTCAAGCTGGCTAGTCAGCCTTGTTCTGAACTGGACTAGCCTGCTCGAACAAGTATCGGCAGAATCTTTGTTGCTCGACGATCTCCCGTGGAGCTTGCTGATTCCAAGCATCCTTCGGCGAGAACTCGAAGCTGAGCTGGACCATCCTGTCCAACGCCTTCTGCAGGTCTTCCCCACGCAAACTTCTGCAGGCTCCTAGGCACACCCCCAGTGCCACCCAGTCCTAGTGTCCCAAACCCCAGTCCTCGTCGCCAGCCTCCAAGCTCCCTCCAAGCCTTTCCCAAAACCTCCCAGCCCTCAAGTTTTTGCCGCCGCTTTTAACAAATCCTTGTAGCCAGCCTCCAAGCTGCTTCCCAAGACCTCCCAGACCCTCACAAGACCTCCCAGATCCTCCCAGGGCTTGTTTCCAGCCTCCCACAGTCTTTTCCTGCTCATATTTCTTTTTAAGGGAGTTCAAGCTTCAAGTCTAGCCCAGTCCTAGTCCCCGGCCTCCAAGCTGCCCCCAAGCCCTTTCAGACCCTCACAAGACCTCGCAGAACCCCCCAAGCCCCCCAGTGCCACTCCGTCCTAGTGTCCCAAACCCGCGCTAGCCTTTCCCAAAACCTCCCAGCCCTCAAGTTTTTGCCGCTTTGGCCTATCCCCTAGCCACTCGTCTTAACAGCCAATGCAACTGCCGCTGCAACTGATATGTGGTCGGTGGCAGTGGCGGTAGCCTTTTTTAATCCGGCCCTGCTGCCGTGGTCCAGGGCGCCCATCCCAAGACCGCTCCAAAATTCGCATGCGCTCCAACGGCGAATCCCCACGGCACTGAAGAATTTTTGAAGCATTTTTGAAAATTAGCCTCAAGGCCCCAAGAGAGCTTCGGCTGAGAAACGATTTTCACTAATCAGGGGTCATTGCGTGCATGGGAGGCCAAAAATGGAGAAA